GAAGCGGTATATAAGTTTAATAAATAAATAAATAAATAAATAAGAGCTCAAATACAGATAAGGAGAGCTGGCGGGCCGGTGGGACCTCCAGAGCAACGCACTGGAATGGTACCCAGTGCTCCTGGCAGGCACCAGTAGGCCCGTACCGGGGTGTACCGCCTGCAACCCACCACTGAAGTGGGAAGAAAGACACTGGAAACATGGTGGATGTTTGGAAAGATGGCTATCACCTTGGTGGGTGATGATGTAATGAAAGGGTTTTGAGCAATAACTCCTATAGCTCTGCCCGAAGGAGATGTTGTTATGTAGAATAGACTGGCCAAAGTCTTAATGGCCCATTGACAAGGGGGAAGGAACTGAGTTTCTGCCTCCCTTTTAGGGGAAATATTCTACCCTTTTAATATTTCTTAAAATATCTCATTTTCCTAAGAGAAGGGTGGGTGTCAACTTCCTACAGTGGCATCAGTATGTAGGACAGGTTACAAGAAATCAGTAGAATTTTTACACATGAACAAACTTTCATGTTGGATGAGTTCAGAAATAATTCCTTTTTTTTACACATTCTACATAATTAAAACAGCACCCTACTTTTTCTAGGTTGATGTCAGAGTGGCCAGGGAAAAACAAAATTAGGCTTGGAGTTGAAAATGACAAATCAGTATTTGTTGTGTGCTTTAAGTAAGCACAAAGCAAAAATAAATCCAGACCTATTCTAGATCTTGTGGAGACATTTGCTCCAAATATTGGGAAAAGGAAAGGATTTTCAAGAATAATCTTTGGTGCCTATAGTCCCACCAGTGGCATAGTTGAATATTTAAAATTGTAATCTAAATGATAGACTATTCCGTAGTGATCACTGCCACTGCGAGGGATGGATTACTTTGGAGATGTCTTCACTTGAGAGGAATGGAGAATAATCCAGTAAGTCACATGATCTATATCTCCTTGACACATTTTGATAAACATATTTAACTGAATGCAATCGGGAAGAAATGGGGATTTTGCAGTAACCTTCCCCTGGAGTGGGGAGTGAATGAAGATTTTACAGTAACTTTCACCTGGAGTGGGGTGGGAATGGAGATTTTACAGTATCCTTCCTCTACCAGGCCCGCCCTGCCACGCCTCCAAAGCCACACCCACCAAGCTACGCCCACAGAACCGGTAGTAAACATGTTTGAATCCCATTACTGTTGCTACTACATGAAACTAGAATGAAGTCCTTTTACTTTGTGAGGTTGTCTTAACAAATGAATTGGTACTCTGTTTATTTTAAAGTCCCGTTTTGATGCGCCAAAATATTGCTGTTAATTTCTGAGATCTGACAAACATATACCATACTATATATGTTCAGGTTTAAAAATATTTCTGTCTTACTCTCTAGGCATGCCTTCAGTCAAGTTGAATACACAAAATCTCACAGTTGTTGAAGGCAAAACTATCACTTTATATTGTGAAGCCACAGGAAGTCCATCACCAACGATAGCTTGGGTTTTCAATAATATTGTTTCAAAACATGAGGTAAGATTTTAATATTAAAAT